GAAGTCGCAAGCTAGTTTGTAACAGAAAACCGGAAAATATGAATAGAGAAAGTACATATATCAAGTTGATTTCTTGTCGATGACATGGTTCTTGGCAGAGTCAGTGGCGAGCCAGGAAGAGAAGTTCTGGAGAGTGGTGTTGTCGACTCGGTAGCCGGACTGAGTAAATTTCTGGAGCTGTTCCCAAGTGAAGTCAGGGTACATTCTAGAAGCTTCTTTAGCCTCCACAAGTTCAGGAGGAGGTGCGATGATCTTGTCTCTTCTAGGACAAGAAAAGAACACCAACGACCTTCTCACTCTCTCCATGTTAACCACTGCCCTATGGAAGCAACTCTTGTAGATTCCGTTTGATAGGGCCTTCCACATCAATATCCCAATAGCACATAACCAAAATCAGTTCTATGATTATTGATCAATTCAAATAGCATAAAATTGTAATTCTATTTCGGAACCAATATAAATACATATATCAATAATTTCTGTTAGTCTCGTTGTATATCATAATTAAGTTCATTTTTTTTTTTCATCTGAAATATTATATTAAACGTGGTGGAATCCGATGGTGAAATCATTCGAAGGTGGAATGCGAAGGTTGAATATGGTACAACTAAATCAAAGAGGAAATCTAAAAACCGAAAGACCAAACTGAATGTAGACAAGCCTTGCTAAAACCAAATCTATTAAACCAAACCAACCAACTCCACCTTTAACAAAGCCAATCGCCAACCTCCCACTGGTCACCGATTCTTGGAACCCTTGCTGATCTCTGATTTCTCACTTTTTAAATATTAATAAGCATTCTTTTCTTTATTTGCTATAGCTAATACTTTTGCTGAGAAAACTTGGTGGCCTTATTGATTAGAAAGAAACGTACCATGAAGGTGTCTCCAACGTTGACAACAAGAGCACCGGGACAAGGGCGCACGGTCTGCCATTTGCCTCCGGCAAATACCTCCAACCCGACTATATCGTCTTGGAGCAGAACGGTGATAGCCGTTGGGTCATTATGAGGACCCACACCAAGGGCTTTTTCCGGCTGCTTGCATGGCGGATAATAGTTGCACCTGAAAATGGCATTTCCGTCTCCGAAGAATCTTCGGTAATATGTCCGGTCCTTCAAACCCATACTTATTCCTAGTAACTCCATCAACTCCAGAATCAAACAGTTCATTGCCTCACAAAATTCTTGGAACACTTGACTGAAACATTAACAATATTTATTTTTTTTTTTTTGTAACCAATTTTTCTTTAAACTATATAATATATAATCATGATTCAAATTATACGGTTTGGCCTAGCGTTAATAAAAATAAAATGTACCCAATCTCTTGACGGTGGTCGCCTAGCCTTGTGGTGAAAAATTCCTCAACGACTTGAGGTGGACCCTTCTTGAAAGCCAAAGTTAAAGTCTCATTCCAAGGAAGGTTGGTGGAGAATCTTTGGCTGTGACCTGCGGTATAGCCAGATATGCTACCTGGGATCCTCACAGTCTTTTGCTTCTCATCCTTGGACAGTCCAAAGAACAAACTCGATGTCTCAAGTGCCTTCTCAGCCAAGCCGGACTTGAAGCCATGATTGATCACTAGAAAGGTACCGTGAGCCATGCATGCTTCTCTCACGGCCTTAGCTGCAAGCTGCGTCTCGGCTTCATCGCCATTTAAGAAGCCACTCAGGTCGACTATTGGAAGGTCTAGGTCGCCTTCCGAAGGGGTCACATCTTTTTCCGGCCAGTAGAATACCACCGGAACTTTTGGTTGGCTTTGGAGAAGGGAGAAGAAATTGAAGTCGGAGGAATTCATTTCTCTTGATATTGAGGTTGCTCCGGGCTGTGACTCATTTAACTTGACCATTTTTATAAGAGTTGTGTATGAAAATTAGGGAAAATCTGGAATTGATTATATCGGCACTTTTACAAAAGATGCATGTCTTGATTATATCGGCACTTTAGAATAGATGCATGTCTCTACAGAATTGTATTTGATTTTATCCCTTTTCTAATGTCCACGTGTATATTATTCTGTCTTAAATTGGCCATTTCAAAATCAAACATTGCATTTGTGAGTCATGCATAGAAGGAAACACTACGATCTCTGAATTTCTATACAAATATGTAACAAACACAACCAGAGGCTTAAAACCTGGATCCGTTTCCTTTTCGGTTTATGCCTCGTGTCACGCGTTTCCAACTTTTAACACAATTATATTCATGTTCAACATACATATTTGATAATCTGTAAAATATAAAATCTATTTCCTTAAATTTTTGTATAAATCCAAATTATAAAATATCCAATTACATAAAATTTGATTTGTTTATTTTGTAATTAACATGATTGCGATATTTAATATTTAGCTGACCTACCTTAAACAAATATAAATTTAATATTTAGCTTGTATGTATTTTTTATTTTTTTTTGGACAAAATTTAGCTTGTATGTATATATATATTTTAATAAATCCAGCTATACATCGATCATATGCCTCAACCACTGTGTGTATATCTTTTTTCATAAGTCTGAAAAACGAAAACAACAAAGCGCAAATTAGATTAATCCAATTAGTCTTTTTTTTTGTTCAACAAGTTCTTCATTCATACTTAAACTGTAATCATACAAAGTTGCAGAATACAGCAATTGAAAGCAATAAACACATAGAAAAGGATAACAATAAAGCTAATAGACAGCGACTCCAAAAAAAATCCCAGATGTGTCAAGATAGATTTCAATAGATAGGTTAGACGGTTTGAATCGTAGACAAAAACCGGAAGTTTCTTAAAAAGGGTTTCAGAAGCTACATTCATAAAAAGGACTTCCTAAAAAGGGTTTAAAAACTGGAAGTTCTTCATTCATACTTAAACTGTAATCATACGAAGCTGCAGAATACAGCGATTGAAAACAATAAACACACAGAAGAGGATAACAATAAAGCTATAGACAGCGAATCCAAAAGAAATTCCAGATGCGTCAAAATAGACTTCAATAGATAGGTTAGACGGTTTGAATCGTAACAAAAACCAGAAACTTCTTAAAAAGGGTTTCAGAATCGATTGCAAGCAAATCGATCTCCAATTCTTCTGCCATTACCGGCAAAAGAACATCAATAGCTACCATAAAGGCTGAGCGAGCTTTTGTGAACACACTCCAAAGAAGTGGTTGTGATAAATCTCTCCTTGAAGGAAGAACTTATATAGACGTAACCGAGTTTAAACAAGCTCGTTACCGGAAAGTTATGGGTCACATCCAAGCAAATACAACTCTGGGCTAAGATCATAATAAAATCGACGGGAACATATTGTCCCGTTGTCCCTTTGCCGGCGAGGAATAAGACTGAAAACCCTGTTACATAAACCATGAATGGTTATAGTTTCTCCCAGCAAAAGGAGTAGGATTGGACATGTCTATCTACAGAGAAAAACAGTGGTAAAGATCTCTCTCATAGGGAGGAAGAAAACTTGCCAAAAGTAGTAGATAATTGGTCACGATCGACCAAGTTCAACGCAGCGACAAACTTTGTTAGGTTAAGCTTGTGAAACAACTCAGCGAAATCTAGCCCAAAATTAATTATTCTTCTCATGGGCCAAGCCCAATTTTGAATAGTCCAATGGACCAAGCCCAAACAGTTCAATTTAAGCCTAATTTTAGAGTCAAGAGGTTTTACATCAATGGTCGAAGAAGGCTGGAGGCGGGCCGACACCGGAGGAGTCTCCGGCAATGGCCAAGTCCGGTTGAATCCCTATCTGATGGTGGCCATCACCTCCGTCAACACCGGCAAATCATGGCTCAGTTTTTGGACGCGGTGTGATGAGATCTGAGTTAGAGCCGGAGAGTCGCGACAGTCCGGTGGGTTAGGAGGGTCGGCGGGTCCGGAGGGTTCGACTAACGAATCGCAGGCGGCGCCGGATCTGGCCATGGTATAAAGGTCCTTAGTTATACCATCATCTATGACACCGAGATTTTCCCGTTCGGAATTTAGATGCGGCTAATTCAGAAATGCAGAGTGTTCTTCTCTTGGGATGAGAGAGAGGTTTGCAAGATTCTCGCCGGAGAGATCGCTACACCGTTCTGAGCGAGCCTTGTGCTGCCCCTTTTCCGGTTCGGCGACGGTGGTCTCAGAGAAGTCCATAGAGCAGGTAATGAAGCCATGGATGAGGTCAACGCCGGTT